GGGGGCTACTGTACACCCCCAGGCCAAAACATCCTTTGTTAACTGATAATGCTACTTAACAATTTTTTCTGTTTTAAACTCTAGGTTGTGCGGGAATTCAAACGTCCTGATGGTATGACTGAAAAGAATGTTGATGCAGCTGGAGATGGTAAGTGTTGTTAATGATATTCTGATGAAGATAATTGTGTATTCAGAAAAGAAAGGGTGTTCTTCCGTGTACATGAATTATCTACTCTCCCATATTTTAGGTGATATTTTGGTGATTTTGGATTTGCGTCCAGATGAGTCACTGTTTGAAGCCGGTGTTGCTCGCGAGGTATGTTGTGATTAAGTTGCCCTCTATTCTCCATTATGTATGTATGTCTGTCTGTATATTGTACTTGTAGTGCATTTATTTTTTAAATGAACAGCATGCAGTGGTTGAACTATGCTACAACTCTTGGATAAAATATCATTTATGATGTTAATAAGGTTACCCCTTTTACTATTATTCTGTCCTATGAGATTCGGTGGAGTATTAATGATTTGTGTTCTTCTTTGTGGCCTTCAATCACAAAATAATTAAGGGGACCCTTTTTTTCTTTATTCAAAGATATTGGCTTCTGTGCTATCCTAATTACATTTAAATTAATCTGTTTTATGGTATTTTTCTTTTTCTTTCTTCTTCAAGTGACCTCCGATTCACTTGTTTTAGAATGTTGTACCATCTTCTGTTGAATATAATCTTAGTCTGTTTCGTATAAAAGAATAATTTTCAGTGATTCATTGGATAAAGGATGAGATGTGTTCTGATAAATGGGTTTTCTTAAATTCCTCCTATGTAGATTGTTACTACGGAAAAAGGCTGCCCTTGAACCTACAGATCTGGTGGACTTTTACTTTGAATCATTGGATGAAAACAAATCGTTCTCGCAGCAGGTTTTAAATTCTCAGGTGAGTTCTCCATGTTCTCTACTCTTATCAATTTCTTGATGTTAAAGCGTTTTTTTATTTTCATGCTAAGATTATTTTTTTTTATTGATTTAAAATTTTAAGATAGGTGATTATGTTCATCTCTCTCCCTCTCCCTCACGCTCTATTCTCTCCTCACATTAAATTCTGAAGAACTGCACGATCAAAGTGAATTATTTCATTTTTTTTTTTTTTTTTTCCTGAGTAATGTTTGTAATTTTGGGTCTTGATGTGTAATAGAATGGCTACTCATAGTTTGTATTATCTATCCTTAGAGCTAAAACTATGACTGTTATGTCCAGGAACACTATATTAGGGATGCAATTGGTTATCCATTGCTTCCTGTCACCATGATGCCACGGGGTAAGCTGCTTTAAATAATTACGGTTTGATTTATTGAATAGTTGCTGTTTATTTAAGCTTGGCCATTTATGGTATCTTATAAAATATTAGTAATTGCATGCCACATTTTTTGTATGTGTCTGAAGTGTGCCTTCAGTTTTGGAAAAATTCTAATCGACCAAAGATCATGTTTGCATACAATGTTTTTGAACAAAGCCAAGAAGTAGACATTATTCGATCTCTTATAAATAATTTCTTTGATTGCACGATGGAAGCTAGCTTCTGTTGTCTCTGTGTAAAAGGATTATGTAAGTGTGTTAGGGTTGACTCTACGTGTCAATTTCATTAAATAAATGTGCTGCTTGGGTTGAACCCATCTCTTAGCCCCAAGGTGTTCACTGACATGGATAATTTACTGTGATGTGTCAACTTATTTATAATTGGTTTAATATATAAGTAAATTATAACGTTAATAAGGTGGCGGATATCATTGTAATTTAAATCAACGGAATTTTTGTAGAGAACAATTATGTGTTATTTTCTTGTCATTAAAATTGTATGTATATTATCAATGAACAATACTACATAGAATAACACTACACATACAAACTGCACATAAGATTTTTATCCAGAGTGACTTGGCATAATTCTTATATTGCCAAGTCATTCAACCTCATTTATTACATATATTTATTGACTTTTTATATTAATCTATCCATTCATTTGATAACATATCACTTTGTATGAAGTTTTTGTATGCACACTTTGTATGTATAGTATTATTTATACTACATGTACAAAAAGTCATATGAAATCTTTTATAGAAATTGACGTGGTACAAAATAAAAGGATGAATTAATATAGAAGTCAACTTAAATAAATGCACAATACATAAAGTTGAATGACATGTCAATAGAAGAGCAATGACACATCACTTTGTATCAAAAACTTTGTATACACACTTTGTATGCGTAGTATTATTTATTATAAAAAATTATTTACTTTGTAACAAAAAATTAGTGAAGTAGATTGGATTTTCTGTGAATGGATGAAGTTTGCTGAAGCTGTATGTTATTAAACTTGTACTGATGTTCTGTATACATTGTACAAATGGGTTAAACGGGGTCAGATTTGTATAAAAAGGTTGAGTGGCTTGAATTTGTACTGACAAGTCGAACTTTTGGAAAACAGGTAAGTGGGCTGAATATGTAAACAAGTTATATGAGTGGTATCGAGTTATGTTATCAATCTAATATAGTTATCCTGTTTTAATTTAACCCTTGTCGGGATTTATTTGGCAGATTGGATTTGATAAATTTTTAAATCACCGAGTTTAGACGCTAGCTAATACTAACAACTAATTTTTTTCCTGCATTATCCTAATATGTTCTTTATAAATACTTTCCTACAAATGCAGGTCATCCTTGGTGATGAGAGTTTCCATGGGATGTCAAAAATGTCATTTAAAATCAGCTTAGTGAGACCTGCTCTAGCATTCGACTCAGATGCTTTTCTTGCATTATACTCAGGTTAGCACTCCCTCTAATGATGTCTGTGTGGGTATGCATTGTGTACTTTTGAGTTTAAGAATGATCCTCAATGCTTTCAGGAAACATAGTTCATGCAAGGCGTGAAGATTTACTTGCTATCAAGGGATCATTCTAATTTAAAGTCCAATTTTCAACATAGAAATGACAAGGTTTGTGTCGTCGTTCACTTAATCCGCTTTTGCGTGACAGTCCATCAAATGCTAATCTTGTGAAAATACCATTTCATGATATTATAGCAACATAAAATACTTGCCTCGCTAACCTTTCTTCCCTTGTCTCTTTGCAGATAATGGTTAATTGCATCGAAAATCAGCTTGCTATAGAACTGGGGTTGTGTTCGTGTCAGTTGGTGAATACTATTTAAGGACAAAATCTGGGTAATCTGATTTCAATAAAAGGCCTTTCTATGCATGTATACTTTTTATTGTTCTGCCGGAAAAATGTTCAGGTCTATTTATCGACAACAGAAGAACAAAACTATAGGCTACATTAACTGCCAAAAGTGTCCACGCAGGCTGATATCTTTGTTATACTTATTTTTCAGTTGTATAGTTGAATATACACTAAAACAGTTGGTTAAATTTAGGAATGCCATTAGCAGCCACAATTTTATTTGTTATCTTTCACATTATTGAAGAAATATATTTTCTAATTATTTTGTTTCTCTAATTGCAAATGTATATAGAGCCGCGGGGTGTAGAATAGAAAGTTTATGAAGAATCTCTTTCCTTATTATTGGTGGATTCAAGGGCAATTAGATTGTTTAGTGCTTGTAGTGACTGCGTAGAAAGAGCAGTTTGATGGCGAAATGGAACTTGATGGGTCTATCTTGCAATGGGTTTATTTCATTCACCTTTTGAAAGATTGCTAAGTCAGAAGTGGCTTTACGATTTTTCAAAGACTATCAAAATCAAGTACGCTCTATTAACGGTTCTTTGTACTTTTACAAGAGTTTTTTTTAAGGGAATTTTGGTAATTTTAGAGAGAGAACAGTAGTTTTTGAAAATCACTAAGTGCTTGAAACTTAACAATCTTTAGTGGGTGAATGAGATAAAGCTTTTGCCATTTTTGCTGTTAATGAATCATGTTTTCATGCCAATACGCTAAGGTAGTGGAGCAATTGAGATAATATTGTGTTAAAATGCTCTATATAGGTACAATTCATTAGATTGCTTTGCTTGAAATGAAATTGCAAGGACTGCTCATAATTGGGATATTAATACATTGTTAGAAAGAAGATTTTTCTTAACAAATTCTAAATTTTGGAGGAGGTCTTAGTTAAAGGGATAAGTCCCAACATGAAAGAGGCTTGCCTTCAAAATAAATAGAAAAATTCAATGAAAATGCTCAAATTTAAGAAGACAATCAATTTCAACAAAAAATATTAAAAATAAGATGATGTCAAGCACATTATTCTCTAAATCAAACTAAAGAAAGAAGCTACTCTTTGAAAATTATATAAACACAAGCCATATTTATGGCTTTGTTACCTCTAAACTTAATTTCCCATTAGATTTATACCCATCAGATCTTAAATAAATTTGAGTTGATAATAACAGAATCTTCATTGCACCCAATCCTATTTATGGGGAGAGAGACTGAATCCTGATTTTTGGTCCAATAGGTCAAGGTCTTGACCTCTGAAATACTACAAATTAAGCCCTTCTAACTAACAAGCTTAACTTTAAAACAACATTCTTATGCAGAGAAAAATGAATTACCTGTTTTTCCCATGTGTATGAGTGAGTTATCCGTTCTACCCTTACATTGGGTTTCTATTAGAATGAGGGACTCTATAGGAGTTTTAAACTACAGGGGGGTAAATGTAATTATCTATACTTATGGGTGTGTTTGTTGGGACCGTACAAATATAACGCATAGTACCAAAAATATTAACAACCACAATTGCTCAAAACAACATCCAATCTGATGTTGAGATTAGGGTTGGTATGAAAACTATTATATAGGGTATTACTGAAATGGACATTTCTTCCATTTATTATTTATAATAAATTGCTTCAGAATGACCCTAATACTGTCTTAATGTGCATGTATCAAAGCCTGGGAGTGAATATTTGTATCTAAAACCATCTGACCACACATTAAACATAATCACAGAGGGGCATTAATCAACCCACAAATTTCACAAACACCATATAATAAATAGACTTATAAATAATGAGGAAAAAATATATAAATACTGATTCAATCTTTCAGCATACAGACAATTACACAACAGAATCATTTCCATTAAGGTGGAAAGCAAAGAATGTGTTGAATCCATTTTCATCAAATTTATATTAACTGCAGTTCAATTCCAAGATCAGGGTTGAAGAAATGCCAACCTGAATCATGAAACGCTGCAAAATAATCATCTGAAATAACATCGATGCCGAATTCATTTGAGAATCTTCGAACAGCTAAAACATGCTTGGCTGTATTGACGATAGTTGAGCTCTTAAACTCTGTGACATGCTGGTGGTACATCTCAAAGCTATTTCCAAACACTACCATGTGTTTTAACATCGCTCCCCAATTTGCCTGCAAAAGATTGTTATACAACTCTGCTTCACAGTGTGGCATGAAGAAAAGTGTTGGCTTCATAGCACATCGGCGACCTTGTTCGTTGACTGATAGAACCGAACAACCAAGGGCTTCCAAAACCCGAGCTTCAGTTGCAGAAAGAATAGGATCAAATATCTCTATGTCGCCAACCCAACTGAACTTTCTTTTCATTAAGATTGCAAGGCTAAGCTGCAATCGAGGGGGTTCATACAATTCAATGCTGCCAATACCATATATCACCATTTGCATATTCAATTCAGAACCCAAAACACTATAAAAGTAACTCAAGACATCTGGAGTTTGGATTTGATCAACAAAATTTTGATAGAATTGAGAGCTCTCCATTTTCTTAATACAGTTCAGCATCCTTTGAAATAACATTGATTCTCTGTGAGGATCAGATTCAATTTCACTAGGGCACCATGGTTTTTGTTCTTCTTTTGGAGTTATAATTCTAGGTGAATTTCTTCTTTGCTTGCCACGACGAGGTAAAACGATGGTCCAATCTTCATTCCGAGTTAGAGTTTCAGGAATGAGAGCTTTTGAAGAAGCAGCCATCACAAAACAAGGATTCTCCTTTCTCTAACCCTATCAATTTTGATTTCTTTTCCCTAAAATTAAAAAAAGACAAGGTAAAATCGCCAATGTTAATTATATGAACATATCAAGTTTGGTAATCAGCATAATAGTTTCTCGGTGCAAGTCTAGTTCGCTGAGCCTCTTTCTGAGAGGGTGCTTAGATCGTAACGCCTTGTAATACCTTGCGGGACAGAACTTACCTGACAAGGAATTTCACTAACTTAAAATAACTATAGTTACAACCTCTGTTATCTTATTTTCTATGGGTTGTGCATCAAAACTTGTAACACTTGATACCATGCTCTGGAGGGTGCCTAGATCGTAATGCGCCCTTCATGTGGGTCGGAATCTACCCAGCAATGAATTTCACTATCTGAGGACCGATATAACTACGCCCTCGATTCTCTTATTATACGTGGGTTGTGCATCATAAACTTATAACACTTAATACCAAATTATTCAACCATTAATTAATTATCCCAAACATGAAAAACTATAGTTCAAAAATGTGATCAGTGAGGAAAGTAGAAACGCGAAAAAGAATTTTTCCAAAATGTGATCTTTAAAAAATTAACAGAGAGGTAGAGGTAAAGGAAATCTACTACAATTCGCACAATTGAATCTTCCGCTTCAGTCTAACAGAGAATGAACAGAAATTTATTCAAATATTAAAAAAATAAAAAAATTTACTTTAATAGAAACCAGAAATTAAGAATCGAAAATTCCACTAACAAATATGAACTGACATTAATTCAAAGACAAAAACAATAAAAACATTTCTTTTAACAAAAAAATCAGAAATTATAAATCGAAAATTTAGCTAACGAGTTTTACAAGGATTTAACTGAAATCGAAAAGAAAATTCAAGATTAAAGCCACGGTGGCGAAGCAATCAACAAGCGAGATAGAAATAAAGAATCAAATTTATAGAAAAATTACCTTCAAAATATAATCAAAACAGCTCAGATTGAAGCCTCCGCCGCTATAGCCGCCGCAGCCGCCACAAGAGAACGAAGCCACCTCGAAGAAGAGCCGCCGCAGCCACCAGGGCTAAAGATAAGAAGCCTCATTCAATCATACGAGGGAGTGAAATTTTGTAGAAAGCGATCTGTTTCCTACAAAAGCGACGCCGTTTTAACCTTAATTAAAACCCTATTAAATATTTTTTCAACCCTACTAGTTTTAATTTTTTCTTTTAATCCTTTTAGTTTCAATTTTATTTTTAAGACCTCATTGGATTGAGGAATTTTAAAATCCTCCGATTTTGTACAATCCCTGGATTCAAAATCAATGTATTTGACAAATTTCATTGTTTAGTCTAAATATAAAATCCATGGATTGTTGATTCAATTTTCCATGAACTTATGTTTGGTTAGATGAATACTAATGTTTTAAAACCCAACCAATGTTTTAAAACCCAACCCGAGGTAAAACTCGAAAAATTTTTCGGGTCTCGGGTTAACCGGCTTGATCAGCTAGTCAAACCAGGTGACAAAACTTTTAAAATTCAATAAATACACCCCTAAAAACTGTTAAGTCCCTATAGATTTGAAATTTAGCAAACACACCCCAAATACAAATCTTTCGGCGATTGGTTGGCAGTGGCGACACCTCAAATGCAATCCCAATCCTCCCTTGAGCCTATTCCCCTTAAAATCTACCCAAAATCTAGCCGAAATCGGTTCAATTTCGGCCAAATCCCATCAACATTGGCGTCGGTATTCCAAGCCAAATCTCACCGACGTCGACGTCGACAACCCTCCCCATCACACTGAAAATACTCTCCTCTTCCTTCTTACCAAAACCCACCTCACCCCACCCCCGTTGGTTGTTGCCGCTCGAGTTTTTTTTTTTTTTTTAATTTCCGGTTGATTCACTCACTGGAAATCAACTTTTTCGCCATCATTGCTCTTACTGGCACTTTCTCTTCAAAATCCCTAACATCCCAACCTTCAATTGTTTGTCGATCATCATCCCAAATTCCAGGGTTTTGGGTGAATAGGAAAAATGTTAACCTAGTTCGGTGAAGCTCCCGGGTCCCGGTTAAACCTATTAAACCAGCTGGGATTATTTTTGTGTCCACTTTGGACAATTATGGATATCATTTTGTGATTGCTAATGGATCGATGTCTTTTTGTTTGAATGGTATTCATTATGGAACTACTAGATTACACAATGGTCTTTATGTTCTTGATTTAAATAATAAAGAAATTCTTAATCTTGAAAACAAGAAACCCAAACATGGCAATCTGAACCAAACTTATCTTTGGCACTGTAGACTTGGTCATGTGAATCAGACTCGAATAGCAAAACTCCATAAAGATAGAGTTTTGGACCCATTTGACTTACAATCTGTAGATGCAAAAAATCTACCGTTGCGGAAATAGGGTCTGATCCCGTGAGGTTGGGGCCACTAGCAATCCGTTGTGCCTGCACACGCAAGAAAACAAGTGTGAAGCAAATGGAAAACACTAGGGTGGTGTTTGCCGTAGGCACTCCGACGCTTAAGTCAGCAAGGCTGAATGAGGCTAATTTAGTGAGTATTAGGGAAAGAGAAGGTTACCAGAAGTCTAGTCAGAGACTATAACTACGGCTGTGATGTGAGGTTCTCAAGAATGAGAACTACGAGGTTAGAAGGTGTAATGTTTTTTTTTTCCTGTGAGAGGATTGGCCTCTGTTTAAATAGCAACTGTAGGATCTTCGAGTCCTAGTAAGGCTGTGAGTCCTTTGGAGGTTGAGGTTTAGTGAATAGGAAGGCTTTTGATTCCCTTACCTTACTAGAAGAGGGAGTCCTAGTTGGTCTAAGGTACGGATCTTAGATGAGTTAGGATAGTAATGGATCTCTTCAATAGAATCCGAATAGTACCAAAATAAGAAGTAGGTAACCTTGGGGTCTAAGTAAACCCTAGGTCCAATAGGTGATCTTGGATCAAAGGGCCTAAGCCCAGACAAGCTGATGATGAGGCATAAACGAATCGGGGCCTTTGTTGATTGGGCTCAAGTAGTGAGCAACAGGGTAGGTGTGCTGAGTAGATCTAATATGCAAACTCAGTTGCGAGCCCAATCGAAATTAGGCCATGGCTCCGTGTCTTCCTCTTTGGGCCTATTTGGGCCGAGGACATTTTTTGGCCCTAACAATTTGCCCCCCACTCTCTAAGTTAAAGAGTGCTTAGCTTAGAGAGTAGATGTTGCGTGAAGGTGTGTTTAGTCGTCCTTCGTGACCGACTGGTTGAATATTTGAATGTGCTGCTTCTTTGTTCGCGGAACTGAATAGTATATGTTAGAGTAAATGCCCTAAAGCCAATCAATTATTTTAGAATTGACTCTTTGTAATAATGTTCATTGATCAATAAAAGGCATTTTATTCTATATCGCGTAAATCATCATTGTATGTTTTGATATATTTCCTTAGAATGGTAGAACCGTGACGAGGGTATCAATTGTTTCAAATCTTGATAGTGAAAACCCTATGAGCACATATGGTGGCTATTTTAGATACGTCTGTAATCCTAGTATTGTTCTGAAGTGCGGCACGAGACAATAAAGGTAAGGCTATCATAGTGTTGAACGACTATGTCAAAAGGCAGTGACTGATCTCACTTTCAAGGTTGTTTGGTGACAACCTGGTGCAACACATGGGTGCTTGCTGTAGGCAAGTCACTAGACTGACCCACCAGAGATTCCATATAGATGGTAACCCCAGTGTCTATAGAACAATCCTCTAACGAATGGTGGTACATGTGATCCCTAGACTTGAGAATCACCGGAGCGCTTGTGCACCGATTGGTGTAGTTTGACATAAGCCAAAACAAGTTCTATCAGAGCTGTCAATACGGTTGTGATTGGCTGCATCAATGAGTGTATCAAGACTATTTAGATAGACAGAGGATTCATCACTCCGATACGGGGAGAAGTTACTCACGGCACAATTCAGTAAATGGCAATGACACTAAAATTATGGCCACAGTGGATTGATTTGTGCCTATCCAGTTTATAATTCAGGTCATGGGTCTAGTACTGAATACATAAATCGAGAGTAACCAAGGTTGACACTATTTCTATGCCCCAGTCTCGTCGAGATCGTTTGATGAAATAATTAGATTGTACGGTAACCATATCGTTGACAGGTAGCTGCTTCGCTGAATCCGAATCTATGGGGTGGCCATGATGCCTTGCTAGGGGCCAATCTTGGTTCTGTGTGTAGTGAGACGTTATTGGTTTAATCGCAATACTACACACTGTCGTATGATAAGAGCCTATGGGTCACACCATATAGAAGATAATTTAAGAACCAGTTTATAAGAAGGCGTTTTCATCTTTTTAGGCGAAATGGTATTTTGGTAATTTCATAGTACAATTAAATTTGTTGAGGTCGTAGCCTTTATTTAATTTGTTAATTAAATCAAATAATGAAATTATATTTAAATATGCGTTCGCATATATTTAAATGAATTATTGTTATTATTAAATGTTATATGATATACATATATATTAATACAATTTAATTGAAATAACAATAATAATTAAAATAAAATATCTTAAGGGGCTGTGTGATACAAGGGTGTTTGGGTTGGAGCCCACCCATTCCATGATGGAATAGGCAAAGTGTGCACCATAAAGTGCAACACTTGTGAAAGATTTTATTCATTCATTCATTCATTGAAAACAAATATTTCAGCCCCTTTTTCTTCTCTCTCCACGCCAGTTTTCTTTTGTTTGAAGAAAATATTTCATTTGATTTTCATCTTGGTTCTTAAAGGCTAAAGAGGATCTGGCAAATCCCTCTTTTGTTCCTTGAGATTGTCTTCGTGTGACTACATTGATTCGATCCTACACTTAGATCGGTAGCGAAACCCATTCCAAGACAAATTGGAGGAGCCTCCAAACGTGGGTATGGCTTTCTAACCTTGAACTGTTTTATTGCAGATTTTAATATGTTGTATAAATTAAATTTGTGCCCTGATCTGATCAAAGGAACTCTATATCATGTAATTTATTTGTTGTTTCCGCTGCCATAAAATGATCGTTCTTACAGTGGTATCAAAGCATATAGGCACCAAATTTTACAGTTTCTTGTAGATTTTAACATGTATTTGGTTGATAACATTGATTTTTGTTAAATCTGCAAAATCTGAAAAAATCTACTATTGAATGAAGATTCAATTGTAATTGGTTTAAAATGTGTTGAATGTTATATTGGTTGGTTGGTATCTTGGTCGAATGTTTGTGCGTTCGTTTGATTTGGATTCGTGTTATTCATGAAAACTGCAAACACGTGAACTGTGCATTTTGGGATTTCCAGACTTTCCCGCAGCAACGTACATACTAGAATTATTCGTCGCGACGAAGTCTGTTGCTGTCCCAATTCGTATTTTTCACGAAGGACCAAACTACGTTTAAAATAACCTATAAGCCAATAACATTCTGCACATTAGAGAGTAATTAATTAATAACCCACCCAATTCTGCACATTTTTTATATACATGGTGCCCGGTACATGAGCCCTATGCCCTATGGTGAAGTTTTAAATTTTTTGGGTATGTATGGTTGGTAATTTTAAAATAGGGCATCGTTTCCTGCCTTCCTTCCCCTTCTTGATGTACATTCTCTCTCATCTCATTCCCCTCAATGTAAATCGAGGTTTCTA